GATGGACAGCGGAGCAGTTGCTCTCACCCACAAAAATAGTGCCGTTTTTACAAACCATAAATCGATGTGGTGGTGCTGAGCAAATCGAATGATGGTTTTAGGAAAGAAATGGTGAAAAACCAATCCAATTGCAGTGTTCGCATACCAAACTCGCAGCTTTTTGCGAATGAAAATTGCATGTTCCCACAACAATGGTGATATGATACCCATGAACCAACACCTCCGGCGCCGAATACTCGCCCCTGAGATCCGAACGCCATTGGCTTCTAATCTATGCGCGACGTCGCCCTGCGAGAAATGTGGCGAAAGGTGCCCTAGGCAATGGGAATGGAAAATCATGGAAAATCCATAGAAATCTGTTTAGACTATTCCCAGAGTTGACTTTCAACCGCCTGTGATTCCTGGTAAGTATAGAGTCCCAAACTCAGCGAAAGCCGTGGCCTTGATCTCTATCATGTTTTGGCCTGGTGTCTGCGCCATCCTGCCCAACCGCGGCGGAACGTGCAGTTTAGGGCCTAAGGGGACTCTTGTGAGACGAGGGAGGAGGAAAGGTGTATTCGAATTCTGATACTCAATGGTTTCTGGAAGTGAATCAGGAGATGGAGGAAATGAGATGTATATCCATCAGGTGCCATGTTCCTGATTTGGGTCCTGCCACAGCAGAAAAAAGAGAAAAAATGCACCACTCTCCTGCTCGGGGGCAGGCCACCCTCCAGGCCGGGTCTGAAGCCAAATTTTGCCAGCACTGCTCATTCGTGCACCTCTAAGGGACAGACTTCCTGGTAGCATCTTTACACTGTTAGTATCTATTTTTCAACGATTCAATTTTCCTTCGGGAAGGATTTGTCTACCTTTCTTGACACTATCATATGATTTGGATGTGATATCATTTTATGGATGTTGTCTGGGTTTAGATTATATTTGATTCGAAAATAGGTGTTCGATTTGGTTTTTTCTTGCAGGCGGAATGATGCAAGTGGTTTTTTTGTCCGTGTGGATATTCAACCCATTTCACTACAGTTGTGGCTGTTTTTTAGATTTCATCACCACCTGGTATCACCTCCACTAATCAACTAATAAATGGATTGGTGGTGGGACAATCTGAACCGGAAACCATGTTTTTTTTACCATCAAATGCAGGGGTTTCTTGCAGCTTTTCCATTCGATTCTCTCTTCAGCCCGAGGTCGTCAGCCTTTTTTGCAGACCCACCCGTCCCTGTCGAATGGCGACTGAATTATGGCACTGTCTCTGGATGTGAAAGACCATGGAAGTGAGGCCAAGATAAAGCATGAAAGAAGTGGCTCGAAGCTTCTATCCTGTAGAATGTCAAACTTTTCAAGGTATTGGTGCCCTATTGGTGTCTCGTGGAAATGCTATCTTATCTAATTGCTACTTCAAAACTCCATAGAATCTCATTCCCTCCAGTGCCCCCCGGGACTTGCACTCTTGGAACTGCCAAGAGGTAAAGGTTGAAAAATCTGCCATTGAGGCCCCTGCGACATGAGTCTGTCCAAAAAAACGAGTGATGACCCAAAATAAAACATCTTAAGCAAAAGAAAGCATCCTTTCCGGTGGAATATATATTCTAGGTTTTGCAAATGAAGGATGCTACGTCATTGATGGCTCAATTCAGGAGCCAAGGCGGCACTGAAATCTGTACATAAGTCGCCACTGGCCAGCACTCAGGAGCCGTTAATCAGCGCCTGGCGTCAGATGGTGTAACCACCCTCTGGTGATCCCCAGCTGGAAAATCCCACATTTTTCTAACCAAGTTATGGATGAATTACTGTTAAGATTGGGATATGCCGGATATGTCATGGGAAGTTCAAAAAAAACATGGGTGTTTGTAAGAACACCTTGGCCCGGAAAGATTCACGAACATCATCCCAGTTTCAGAAGAGTCTCGCAGTCTCAAAAGGTCAGGGATGGGGATCTGCCGATGTGGTGCCCACAATTGCCATGGTCCAAGGAATGATCCCAAATGGTGATTTTTCTGATCCAGAATGGTTGGTTACTCTAAACTCGGGACATACAATATGTATAATATATGTATATATACCTGTTTATATATATATAGAGAGAGAGAGACCGAGTTCCAAGCTCCAAACTATCATGTTCGATCATCATAAATTGGGATAGGCAATGGTACTGTACGAGTTAGCTAGGGAAAATAGCCCGTTTGTAGATGAATTACCTATTTAGAAATGGTGGTATTCCATAGCTATGTTACCAGAGACTAAATCAAGCATGGCTTGCTGGAAAGTTGGCCATTCAGTTCAATGATTTCCCATAGCTATACTTGGAGGATCGTTCTACGAATCGCAAGTGGAGAGTGGCCTTGTTTAAGTCCCCAATTTGCGGGTTATCCCATCTATAAATAGTAATGGATTATGACTATAGTATATAGTTCTTAAACAGTTCTTAAGTCAATGGGAATTCCAGGATCCTAAAATGGAGGTACTGTACCATATAAGGCCATATTTTGTGGTGATATTCCCTTACATAGGCCTTATATATGGTAGGTACCTCCAATCTAGGATCCTGAAATGGCCGTTGATTAAGTGGGGTGACCCTTCAAGTAGCTATGTTTCATTTCTCTCATCCCGCTGCAGCATCCCACCACCTTTTGGCCCACCGTCCAACGTCCAACCGTCGCTTGCTTGGCGAGACTGGTTGGTTGATGCGAGTATCGTCACTTTTGGCCATATAACAACCATACCATGGTGAAGATTGTCCTGAAAATGCGCTATAACTACATACCAAACATCTATACATTGGGACGTATGTATGTTAAATAACCAACCATGTATGACTTGGGTCTGTCTGAAACTAAAAATGAATATAATATATGTAATCCAGAAATAATAATCGCCGTTTTATTCCAAGATCTATGATGATTGGCCGTGAGAAAACAGAGATACCCTAGTTTCAGGCAGACCTCACATTGGATCAGTTCATTTTGATTCATAATCTCCATGAAGCAAGTCTTGATCACCCCACCAGGATCACAATCAACCACCAGGGATTTTTAGTGGGCATTGCTCAGTCAGAGAAACACCCGTGTTGAGTGCCTCCCTCTCCGAGTCGCTCTGACTCTTTGCTGTTTCCTTTTTCGCGAATCTATCTCGATGATCGAATGGTACGAACCCCGTCAGAGATCAGCCAAGTGAATCAGAAAAATCACAAACGAAGCACTCGCTTTGCATTGTCGAGAAGGGTCGCCATGACGATGATGATGCCCTCCTCAGGGTCATCCGAGTCATCCAAATTGGAAGATTTTTTATGTTACCTTGTCTGCTTGTCTTATCCTATCCGATATCCTTTATCCTACCCTTTCTATCTACCTACGTACCTGGACATTTTTAGATATACATACATTATTATTATTATTATTACCCTCCAGTAAATTAACATAGACCCTGGCAGAGACTAGTTTCCACTATCAATTGGTGATTTTCAGGGTCTATGTTAATTTACCAGGGGGTACTACTATTATTATTACTATTGTTTTATTATTAGTTTATCATTATTATTAGAATGATGTATCAATATTATAGTTATTATTACTATTCATTATCATTAGTAGTGTTATTATTTAGTATTATTATTACTATTATCATTATCATCCTTATTACCATTATGTTTTTATTATGTGACTATTATTATCATCTTTACTATTAGTTTATTATTGTAACTGTTATTACTATCGTCCTTATTATTATTTTATTATTATTACTATTATTATCATCATCTTTATTATTATTTGTAGTAGTAGTACTATTATTACTACTAATATTATTATCATCATTATTATTATTTTATTACCTATTATCACTATTATTGCTGGTATTATTATCATCCGTGGTGTTATCATAGTATTATTATTATTATATTTTATTTATTAGTATTACTATTATTATTATCATCTATATTATTCATATTATTAGCATCGTCATTATTATTAGTACTATTATTATTATCATCCTTATCATTAGCATGTTATTATTATTACTACTATTATTATTATCATCCTTACTATTATTCTTATTTATTATCATCACTATTATCATCCTTATTATTATTTTATCCTTATTATTATTATGTTATTATATTATTACTATTTATTGCTATTATTATAATATATATATATATGTGTGTGTACTTTTGACTCCCAGATCCATGGCAGGTTTGTCTCCAATTCTTGGAGGATTCTTAGATTCCGCCAAACCCAAAAGCGACCGTCTTTCATGCTGACTTGTTGTATGGGCCAAAAATGAGACGAACCACAAATTTGGTCAGGTTTAGTATGATACTATCCATTTTGGAGAGGGTTGAGCCAGATTTTGAGCCATACCCACTTGAGTTTATCTAAAAATAGGCCACTCCCGCATCCACTGGTGAATCATCATACTTCCCCTATTGAAATCGCGTCGACCTGTCGCACTTCCAAGGGTCATCATTGGACTTCGGCATCACCTCCTCGTCAAAGTTGTTCCATCCCAGATTTGGCACCTGAGCGAGGCGATTTTTTCGCCCTAAAAAAAAAAGGATGATTTGTTTGGCCAAAAAAAATCGGAGAATCTGAAATTGCTGAAATCCTGGTTTTTCGCTCTCCAATTTTCCCCCCATGAAAAAAACGGTCTTGTTGTGCTGGAAACAGCCCGAGAGGCAGATAAAGACACGCCACTGTTGATGGGATAAAGTTCTGCCTTGGCTGCACACAAAAGGCATGAAATGGCAATACCCTAGGGTAACACCTAATAGTTTCCCAGTGGAAACCATGGCCAGTTCAACCGGCCAATCATCCACAAACGCACTGCTGCAAGATTAAAAAATGTACCGTACACCAGCACGATTCAAAACTATTCAGCACCCAAGAGTTGGCTCGTTTGAATTCTCTGGCATTGGCTTGAAGTGTTTGAAATCATGTTCGAATTGAATACAATGTGCATAAGATGATTTCAGGAAACGTCAGTTCATAAAATTCCCATTTCAAGGTCTAAAAATTCAGGAAGACCCCAAGCCGCCGAGCCACATGCACCCAAACATCGGAGGTATTGACCTGCCAGAGTCGATTTTTTTAACGGCCATGCCCACTTGAGCGCCTGTTGGTGAACAATTGTCATCCAAGCTGCTTTAGTTGTCTTTACCCTCTGGTAATTTAACATAAGTATTGAAAATGGTCCATTTGTAGTTGATTTACCTATTAAAGATGGTGATGTTCCATAGCTATGTTAGTTTACCAGAGAGTAATTGGAATCAAAAATTCATCCCATACAGTTGAGCACTTGATTACTGTAGCATGGAAGACACTGAAAAAAAGGGAACAAAAATCATTTTTCCTGATGCGTCTGACGCAGATCTGCCTGGTGTATTCGAAAGTCCAATGGCCAGCTGGGCCCAGAAGGGCTACTAGCAGCACCAGTGGACGATTGAATCACACCCAAGTGCTTGAGCACATCCTGCGACGAGGGACTCGGCAATGGACAGCAACAACGAGGGACTTGTCTGAAAATAGGCTACCTCCAAATCCAGCACTCGATCATCATTTTAATGTCAACCCTGGATTAATAAACCCCTAGATTGTTAATTGGGAGGGTACCATTTAAGTATCAGATTATGACTATTGGAGGAGTACCCCCCCTAGACACACCCAACTCTTCGAACCCCAACGTCTTCCAACCGGGATCACTTGGATCGCTTGGATCGCTCCAGGGGGCTTCACCCGGGCCTCCACGTTGGAGGTCGACAGCGAGCGCTCGTAGACCACATCCACATTCTGGACGTGAACCTTGTCCACCGTGAGCCTGGCACATGGCTACCACCATCAAGCACGGAAAAAAATCACGAAATATCCATATGAACAGTGGGAAAACCCGCAACATCGTTCCATGAATTATACTGGTTGCTTCCAGAACGGGATACCTCGTTCATGGAATGTGATAATCCCCCAATTCATCTTGGTTGGTATAATCCCCGAACTCATCATCAACCATCATTTATCAGTTGTATCCACTTATATCCATATTTTTGATTGTTAAAAAGCCATTCAAATCATCAGTCAAGTCCCAGCGCTGGCCTATGTCCCAGTGACTTCACTAAGCCACCCATGTCGACGTCCACAAAGAGACGCCCCACGGACGCTAGGTGGGCAGATCCGTAGCCAGGCGGATTGCCTCCGATGTAGACATACACATCTACATCTAGTAGACATCGGCATAGACATAGACATATACGTATACATATATATATAGTTATCTATATATATATACATATAGGTATGTATGGTTATTTGTTGGTATATTCCATTTTTGATTCATGCAACCATTTATTCGATGATTTCGTGTTTAATATCAAACTGATTATATAACTATTTACTTACTTCTTTGTTTTTGTTAGTTAGCTAAGCGATTAGTTGTTTCTTCATGTATGCGCAATGTAAATGTGAAATTTGAGATGATGATCCCCAATAGAAAATGAAAAATGATTGGAACCGCAAGGAATGGGTTGAATGCAAAATCTCTAAAGCGGAAACAGTTTTTCCCCCATCAAACACAGGAGAGTCCTGCAATTTCCACCTGAAGCCATTTCTTCCATGGTTTGGAGAGAGGAAAAAACATGTCAAAGGCGCCAATTTTGGAGTAAAAATTTCCATCCTGAAACTACGTGTAATTATCTTCACATATGCAATCGTATTGCAAATAATATTTGGGTTCCCAAAAATATCGAGAAAAACTATACTAATGTGGTTAACAGGAACGTGCAATCTTGGAACTGTTTCAAAGGAGGGAATGGCAATCCTGTGTTCAAAGATTTTGGACGACTTTGGGATTACTGGGATCACCCAAGTTTTGAGTTTATGGGATGTTTCCCATTTAGATAAAATGAATATCCACAAAACATGTCTAGAAATCCATTTAGATCGATGTCACTCGGATTAATCATCAGAAATTCATGGGGCTATTTGGACTATCCATAGTTTTTTTCCAGGTCGATTTAGCAACGGTGCTGATATTTTCTAGGTTTACAATGATTTAAGCGTACCCTCAGATGGTGATCATCGTTTCCCCCTCATCCCGTAGCGTGTGGGGTATCTCCATCTCTGGACCAATGCCGATGTTTCCACACCATGGAGAATCCCCATTTGTAGATATTTAGACATTCACACATGCATAAATCTACAATTTGGGATGAATTTACCACCCATGGTCATATTGGGGATTTGGTTTCACCACACTAGTTACTCATTAACATAGACATAGAGCCTGGCATTCATAGGCGGTTGGAAGACAAGTCTTTCCTCTAAACGCTATTGATTTTCATGGTCGAACTGGAGCAGATGGGGGGATGACAATAGATAGATTGCTATATTATGTATGTTTTCGTGTATTTATTGATTGGTTCAAAAACAGTTATGAAACTACCCAATCATGGTTACTGCATTATGTTTTTGGAGCGGGGATCCCCATGGGATGTATAAACATACATATTGTATTGTGTATTTATATATATATATATACATAATTATACATATATATATATAATGCATCATACGTGCCATTAACAGTTGTGAAACTACGCATGGATTTATATACCTAATCATTTTCTCCCCTTATTATGGCATATTATGGCCACAAGCTATACTACACCGGCAACAGGACCCAAACAGTGTGGGGGGTAGGAAGTCAATGTAGTAGATACAAGCAACGGTAGCTATGGAAGAGAAGCAGATGAGGTTGGACAGTATCGCAACTGCAGCAGCAGGAGCCTCTATGTAGATCTTTATCGAGGAGCTCACAAACAAGATCTTCATAGAAGAACTTCCTATGAGCATCCCAGAAAAACCTTTCATACAAGCACCGATCCAGAGGGTCTTCAAGATCTTGATGCAAGTACCTCCTTGAGGCGGATTTCAACAGGATCTCCACAAGATCTTTGCACAAGGGCCTGCACCAGATCATGTAAGGACACCGACAGGATTTCACCAGGACCTCTTCAAGAGCTCCGCGCAAGGACCTGTACAAGGTCATGCAAAGGTCTCTGACAGCATTTCACTAGGATCTCCACAAGATCTTCACACAAGGACCTTGAGCAAGATCTTCATGCCAGGACCTCTAGGAGAATTTCACAAGATTGTCATACAAGGACCTGGTGCTGCTGGAGCAGATCTTACAACATCTTGATGCAAGAACCTCGCGCGAGCCTCCCACAAGAGCTTTGGTGCACATTTTGTGCGAGCCTGCGCAGTCGAAATGCACTTGGACATCTCAAGAGCAATTTTATGCGAGAATTTACAGGAAAAATGCCGGGGGCCAGCGTGCGTACCCTGATCTAACCCCGGCCTTAACTCCTACTGTAAGAACCCCTCTCAGTGTGGCACACGGTTTGGGGAATAATACAAAAAAAAACATGAGTTTTGATCCTATCCACTATCCCAACTTGGGTATCGGTATCATAAATCCGCTATAACACTGATGCAGATATATCTCCCATTATGTACGCTCGGGTAAACTAACATATATGTGGAGAAAGCCATTAGTTGTAGATTGTTTCCCTAAGGAAACCATGGGTTTTCCATGATTTTCCACATCTTTTTGTTAGTTTACCCTAGGGTATCCCCATTGATCTCCTTGGAAGGCAGCCCGGCCTACTGTCAGGTTGGTCACCAGCAAGGTGCCGAACCACGGGTTTAGTGCGATGCGGTCCACGGACACCTACGAAAAAGCGTCCAAGTCACTAAAGTCACATGAAGAATTACAGAAATGCCAGAGAATTCTGGAGCAAACCATGGTACACCCTTAGAAAATCTTTGAAAATCATAGGAAAAACAAACGTACACACCCTACATTGGACATGGAACCCCAAAAATGACCATATCCAGTAGGAAAATTGTCCAAACACAAATTTGCAGGACGTTGCAAAAAAACAATAGAATTCCGACCTTCTCACGTGGTAAACAGCACATTGGCTCCCATCAATCATGCCCTTGTGGGATAAATAGAGGGGACGGGTTGGTACTGTATACCTTGGGCCATCATCTACTTCTTGGATATTCAATACAGATTCCTATATCAAGTAACGAACCAGTAGGAAACGAGATCAGTTTGGTCAGCATCTTGCAGAGAAACAAGCTGTTTCAATCCCTTGAAACAGCAACTGGGAAGTCTGGCACATCGAAAGACGGAAATTGCCCCAAAACGAAGATCTAAGCTGCAGAAGTTGGTGATTTCGGGGCGATTTTGATCAAGAAGAAGATCAGATCTGCCCGGCCCCATGAAATTGGTCACAGGTCGCCATCCAATTCGATGCAATGAAATCGTGAAAAAACTCGAATTTTCCCCAACTGTGGCAAGTTTCTGTGACACCAAGGAAGGCGGTGTCATAGTCCATCAACCATTTCTTCAAGACCGCGCCAGCGAAATACCAGGCCTCTGCAAGTTATCAATCCAAGTTGGAAACAAGGCAATCTCAAAAGCAACAAAGATTGCAAGCAGATTGGGATTGAAGATGATATGAGCGTTGGAAGCAGGTGGGTGGTGACATAAATGTCTATATATATATATATACATATACATATATATACATATACATATATACATATACATATATGCATAGATGTGTATATATATATATATATTCATGTGTATGTGTGTATATACATATCTTTATATCATGCTGATTCGCCATGAGTTCCCTTGGAATTTTTTATGGATTCACCAAGGCGCAGCGAGCCAAAATGCTGCCGCAGTCATCACAGCAACGAAGGACATCGTTGCCACCTGCCATGATCAGACCATGTAAAAGTTTCTAAGGGAAAATGTGACATGTCGTGTGACAAACATTAAAAAATAATGAAAAAACCGTGATGATTTTTTTGGGAAATGAAAATCATGGTTTTATAGATTGGTAATTCTTTTCAAACCTATCATCAAAAGTATGTGTCTTCGAATTGATTAATAGATGTATTTAAAAATCAAGCCCATCAGAAATTTCGGCCCCAAGTGTGGTCTTTTTTCTGCACCGAAATAGATCAATCTCCACTGGCTGGAGAATCCACCCTTGATAGTTGATGTTCCCATTACCCGGCCTGGTAAACATACAAAAAGCTATTGAAAATGGCCATAGAAATCGTGGATTGTCCCATGAAAAATGGTGGATCTTTCCATAGTTATGTAAACGTTTACCAGAGGGTATACCCTTTCCATTGATAGGAATTTCTTTCCAGCCATGTTTGATGACACAAAGCTCGGTGCATCCCCCGATTCCGATGGACTTCCCCATCTCGTGGTGGCTTCAAACCCCTAAGAGCCGTTTTTAGCTTTCAGGATATGGTAGTTTCCAGGCATAGGGGACCTCAAAATCATCCAAATTTCTCATATATTATTGTTGTTATAGAAAAAATATGGAAAAAATAGTGGTTTTGAGGGGTACCTTTGTTTTCAGAAACACCCGTATGAGTTGCCTGACTCACTTGGCTATGCGTCAAAACATTGCTTCTCGTCTCTTCACACCAAAAAAGTTGGTATTAGCTGGATGTTCATACCCCAATACTACGCTATTTCATAAGTTTGGATCCATTCTCATTTCGTGAACGGGTTTGTCTGAAAATAGGATTTATGTCCAAATGTCATGGTCTAAAACCTGTTTTGTTGCCCATAAAAAGGGCATTACATATGGCCATCCCTCATTTTCAGACCAACCAAAATAGGTTTTGCACCAAACCCGACCACCCTTGGGGTGGAAAAGTCCCAGCCCTCGGGCCCTCGGCCTTGAACTTCACGCTGGGCTCTTCCTTGTGCCTGACGCGGCCTGAGCGGAGAAGCCACCAATCCTAGCTATCCTGAAATGGGGGTTCCCGGTACCCCCAAATCATCCATTTATAGATTGGGATTTTCCATGACAAAAACCCTCGAGCCATGGGGTACCCCCATTTATATATCATTTATGGAAACCTCCAAATGATACCCAAACACATCCAAGGTTGGTGGCCCGCATTCTCCACGCAATTCTCGGCAAAGGGAAATCCTACCCTTCAGTCAGTAGAGTGGAAAAGCCCCTTCAGTCGACCTGCGGGCTTTTCCCATGGTCACTGCACCCAGTCGCGCTGATCTGCAGCCAGGCATCAAAGATACCAAAAGGCCAAAGCAGCGGAGCCCGAAATCGCGAAAGCTGCGAAGCAAAGTGACAGGATGGCCCAGTGCCTTGACCATGGGACCATGGGCCATCTGTGTCGATGCCAATCACATGCCCTCTTTTTATAAACACCCCCAGAAACCATGGTGGATGTAGGGGATTTCCCGTATTTGGGACCATTGATGCCCAGGTACATGTCTGGGGCACGGACAAGTTTGGTATACTGCCCCAGTGGCTTGGAATGGTCGGAAACCACACCTCCACAACGGGTCGCCACGTGATCATCGGCTATTGCTTGGGTGATTTGCTGTTGAAAGATAAACATCATATAACATCACCTTGCCAAAATTTCTGCAGAGAACCACAAAATCCACAGAAAAGAGTTTATCTTATAACTTATAACTATACCTAGAACTGGCCTTAGCTGGGATGCAGCTCTTTAAATTTCACAGTGGAGGCATTTTATCCCATAGCTGGAAAGGATCGCACGGTCCAACCTGTGGAGTTCTCCACAGCAGTGGCATTTTCCATCACCAGTGCCTCAACCAGCCGGGCACCCAAAAGCGAAATTCGTGACCCCCAACAGCAAAAAGGGATCCCGAATTGGGGGAGCTCCCCAAATCTCGACCGCAGGCCCGCAGGCTACAAGTCTTCCAAGGTGCTGAACTTCGGTTCGTGTTCGTCTCTTGGACGATCTTTTGCATCTGCAGGGGCGACACAGCGACACACCCCATGTTTGCCGGAGCAAAAGGTAGAGAAGTTGTGGCCAAAAAAAGTTGGGGGACACCGGGGACCTTCAATCCCGTGGCACTACAACATGCAATTTTTCTCGGCAGAGTTTTCTCTGTCGCAGGTCATGCTTTTAATGAATCGAAATTTCAGATCTTCACAGATCTGGCACCTGAAGCAAATGCAGAGTTGCCAAGTGAGGTTCCGACTCCTCTACCAGCTCCAGTGCATCCTGCGGGTCTGCCAGTTGGGGGGATCTTCACCCCCCCCCCGCTGCTTTGTGGGCGGTGCTTGTTGTTTTAGACCCCAGAACTAAGCCAAGCTACATTTGCTTGGGGCTAATCTGTGATTTGTATTGATTCTGTTTGACACCTAGCCATCTGAGTCATCTGCAAGTTGGTGCCCCCAAGTTATAATTGGTTTATAAACCCCATGAGCATCCATTAACTATATAGATACACCTACCATAAGCCCTAGCTAATCTACTTTCAACTTTCAAACCATCTTTCTCAAGCTGAGGCTCCAATTCGTGCTCAAAGTCATGGCTTAAGCAACGCTCTGGCGACCTGGGGTTCCGAGTATTGGAGCAAAGCCTTCACGATCAAAGATGATGCCTTCACATTCGAATTCTATATATATATATATTGATATATATATATTTACATATTGATATTATCGAGATTTTGCATAGATCAGAATTATCATATATACCCTCCAGTAATCAAACATGGCTTGCTGGAAAATCCACCATTTGTAGTTGATTTTCCCATTGACCCTTCCATGGATGTTCAATTGCCACGTTTGAAAAAACTGGAGCGTAGGAATACCTTCCGGGCACATCATGGGGATCTACAAACTTACTATTTTCTTGTCTGGGTAATAATTTAATAGCAAACTAAGTCTTCAAAACTCCAGATTTTTTTTTCAAAGTTCCAAAACTCTCCATGGCTTCAAGGATTTCCCATATTTCCCAACTTGTTTTCCTATGGAAAATTTGATTTTCCCATGGAGAAATGTGACTTCCCAGCCGCCTCCGCTCCAGGTCAGTCGCCGCAGCGCAGCTTAAGGTGAGCAACACGATCAGTGGGGTCATCCTTGGATCTATGCATTTTGGGGTCAGATGTAAGGAACTTAGCCAAGTGGATCTTCAGTGGATGGAATATGATCGGATGAAACTGTCGAAATAGTTGAATTTGAGGGGTGAAATAGGAGGAAATTAGAATTCAAGCAACAAAAAATCCGATCTGCGCGGCAAGCGTCGAAGAGCTAAGTAGTTGGAATTGGAGATTTTACCATTGGAGATGTCACGCGAGAAAAATATGGACTTCACACATGACCTAACCAGCAAAAATGTTTAAAACCTGGCAGACCAAGCGTCCTGCGAGAAGGACACCCCGCTCAGCTGGCATCATATGGAGAAGTTCGGTAGGCACGGCGGGGGATGAGCCAAATGCCTTGCGTCTGGCCTAGTGACAAAGCAGCCCTGGCGGTGTAGCAATAGACGATGATTTTACAGTTGACAAAAATAAAACATGGAAAGATTATGGATATTCAATTGCCCTGTATTCATATTACATGTTCCAGTTGATGGTTTGAATCGTTAGAGTTTCACCTTGCCCTTCGATGTTCATTCCCTTGGTGTCAGATGTGAACCGGTAGACCAGCCGTGTTCTGACCAGGTGATTTGGCTATGTCCAGTTCACACTGCTCCTGCAAAAGAGCATGAAGTGACAATGAATTTCAGCATATGTGTGTCGTGTGTGACCAGGTGTGATGTATATATATATACATTATGTATATATATATATACACATTATATTTATATTACATATATATTACATAATATATATATATACTACATATAATATACATTACATATTTACATATATACTACATATATATATATATTACATATTATATATATATATATACATTACATATATATATGTAATATATATATATGTATTACATATATATATATATTACATATATATTTTACATATATTACATATATTACATTACATATATACATAGATAGATAGTGGTAAATCAACATAAATGATTGGTCCCCTAGTCCCCTAGTACGAAACCCTCCAGGAACCCCTAGAGTTGAGTCGTTTTCGCACCTGCAAGGCTGCTAGCCCGGGACGTGCTGCCTGAAGTTCTGATTCGTTGTGGTCTGTGGTCAGCCGAATGATAAACCACGAAATTCGGAGGGTTTATAATATATCTACATTTATATATTTATCTCATTTCTGTTCAAATAGTCGCTGGTTCAGTGTTGGTTTTACCGCAACACCTCAGGCATTCCATAGCGCCTGAGGCTTATGACACTTTCCAGATGGCTGCTCCCAAGGTCTTCGCAGTCACAAGTCTCCAAGGAGTCAAAGTGTTGGAAGGTCATCAAAAATAGCTATTGAAAATGGCCATTTATAGTGGATTTTAATAGATTTTATGGTGATTTTAATGGGATTTAACAATTCGCTATTGAAAATGGCCATAGAAATAGTGGAATTACCATTTTTACATGAAAAATGGTGGATCTGTCCATAGTTTTTTGTAAACGTTTACCAGAGGGTAGCCAAAATGTGACCAAGAGAGCCCGGTGATGATCTGTGGCTCCCGACCTCGACACAGAGTTGGTGCTGTCCTGACTCGTTGGAAAGCCTTGGTAGGAAGTGCTGAAGCACTGTTGCAGGTGCTGCTGATCATGGCTTAAATATACTCAAATGATCCCAGAATGTTTATCATCATAATTATCTCATAATTAGCATAATTATCATGGCCATATTTATCATCATCATAATATAATTATGGCAGAATATATTTATTATCATAATTATCTCATCAAAACAAAAACAAAACCACCAGCAAAGTACGAGCCTTGCTGAAAAATCCCCAGCAGAAATCCCATGGACGCCACAATGGACGCCACTCCACCCGTCGGCGCCTCTGCGTTGCTTTCTGCAAGAAGCCAACCCAATTGCTGGCCGCCTCCAAAGCTCCGCTGAAGGCGGCTTGGAGTTGCTGGTGACGCCTCAGGCGCCCAGCAGGAACAGACCTCCACAATCCATTGGAGGGTTTATCATGTGGGTAAAACAATGTCATAAACCACCCATGACTAAAAATGGTTTATACCTATGAAAATGGTGATGACTGGGGGATGGTTTATGGTTTATGGCAATGTTTTACCAACTTTACTCTTTTTATACAGTCTTTACCACCCGGAAATCCGGTGAAACTGAGGACAGTTCTTCGGGTTTACCACATTTGAACTTCCGAGATGTTCCGAGATTTCTGGATTATTTGTGACGAAGTATGCAGACCGGTGTTCTACCCACACCAAGGCACCAATATCACAGCCACCGGCCCTCGATCCACAAAATTCAGGTTCATTTCCAACCCATCCCCAAAAGAATGGATCTATTAATGTGGATCGAACCATCAAATGGGTGTGTTCTCACGATTTAGGTCATAATTACCCTCTGGTAATTTGTTAACAATTAGCTATTGAAGCCATGGCCCATAGAAATAGTTGATTTCCCGAACTTAAAGATGGTGGATCTTTCCATAGCTTTTTGTATGTTTACCAGAGTGTAGGTGCCCAAAATCCAAAGAAATGATGTCCCACGAATTTTCACCGGATAACTTGGGCTCCCAGCCTCTGCAACTCCATGGCTTCCCGCTCGGCTTCCCAAAGGAAAGCCTCGGTTGAACTCGCGTGAACCGGCGGTGACCAAGTTCGTTAGCTAAGTTGGTGAACATAACTAGCATAACTAGGGTGTATGGTAGATATATATATATATATGTACATATATATATATATACTGTACACACACAGTTAATGGGGGCTATAAAGCCACAAACATAAACTGGGAAGCACCATGGGAATGTAACATACTCTCGGAGATACAACAAACAACTGGGAATAGTGGGAATGTCAACGAGTAAAAAGTTGGAACAGGTAGATTTTAAACCCCAGCTGGTTCCCTCTTCACATTTGAAGCCAACTTGAAGCTTAAGTTATATTAAATTAATAAATCATATCAATTCATATCATACATTATCATACTATATATTACTATATTATATTGACTTGTATAAAATTGTATTGAATTATGTTACCTCGTATGTCCTTGACTCATCTTCCCAAGTTCCCAGATGTTCCCAGTTTTTCTAAGGAGGGCCGAGGAGGATCATCCAGTGACCATTAGAGTAGAGGACTCCTATTGAAACAACATATGAAACAACAAAAAGGTGACGACTGGGGATCCCCCATTCTATGAAAACCCCCTTTGAAAATCTCAGAATTCCTCAGAATCATCCATCTTTCTGTTGGTTTTCACTTGCGATCTTTGGATATATTTGGTTCACCACCCACCAATTACTTCCATCCCCATTATTCCCATGATAACCCCATGACAATCCAAGAAAAAAACGAAGGCCTCACAGGTGAAGTTCAAATCTCCAGTCACCTCCACCTCCGCCGGAGACGCCGCCTCCATGTTGCTGAGAAGATGCTTTCACTGGACCATCAATGGAAATCATCATGAAACGGGGAGGTTTAAATTACCTCCCCAAGAAGCTACCAAGTTTTGAATTCAATCATCTGTTTTCGGGGAACCATATTTTTTTCGAAATATTTCGAACCATCCCCAAATGTCTAATCCACACCTCGAGGTGGTTCACCAACGTTTGCTGCGCCGGTGTCATCATCGGCGCAGCGCCATGAAGAAAAGCCGTCGCCTTGGAGGATTTCTGGGGGACACGACACCTGCCCCACCGGTTGTAGATTCGGAAAAATGTCATCCACCTGCGCCAAGAAGACCATAGAGATCAGCAGCCAAGGAAGGCCCGGAACACCTCAACGTTGTGAAAACGTTGGGAAAACGTTGGGAAAATAAAGATCAACCGATGGGATTCTGGCGAAAAAAATCCAGACATGAAACATAGCGATCAGCGATCTAAGTGTTACCCTCTGGTAAATTAACTTGTTGACCCTGAAAATCACCAATTTTTAATGAAAACTAGTCTTCCAAGCCCAAAAACTGCCAGGGTCTATGTGAATTTACCAGAGGGTAATTCAACCTGGTACCCTGGGTCAAAACAAAGCTGGTGGCTCTGGATATTCATCCTCCCTAGGCCTTGGGATGGGAAGTCTCTTGAAATTCTCCCCGTTCCAGGCGCCCCTACTGAAGTTGCTGGACAAGGTTGAGCCAGCTTCACATTGATTCTGCCAAGGAACACATCATGTTGTGTGTTGACTTGCTCACAAGTGCAGGTAAAAATGAAACCCACGTGTTGATTGTGTCTTTGGGTGTCTTCCAGTGACAAAAAAAAAAGAGTCAACGCCGCATAGATTTTTGGGCCCCAGCCGCACCTCTACAAATTGTCGCGCCGCCTCCGCTGATCTTAACCTATCCATCAAGCGGTCCGCAATGTGTGGCCTCAAACTCAGCGGGGTTCAGGAAAACCCCTGGAGGAATATACTGGGAATATGTAAAGGATATATATATATATGATATACAGATACATATTGGACATGTAATGGATATATCAAGGATATATCACACTCAAAATATTGGGAGTTCATTCAACCCACGATCTGGCACTAAAAAAAAGGTGGAGTTTCGGGGTTCACACCCACGAGACAAATTCACGCCGTTGGAGCTTGCTTTGGATAGTCACTGGGGTATAGCCCATGGTATCATTGGTGTCTTTCGTGCATCATTGCCCTAACTCTTGCCCTCCAGTCAAATAAATCGTAAACCCTGAAAATCATCATTGAATAGTCTATTTTGAGTGGAAGCCGATCTTCCAAACCCCCTCGGCAGGGTCAAGCTGTCAATCTGGGGGATCTAATTTTCCCCACGGCCATGGAAATTCCATAGGTACATCCCCCATGGCCATTGGGGGCTCCAAAAAAGCCTAGAGACGGCACGTGGTTGACCAGCTCCAAGGACAACTCCTGTCCGCAGTGGATGATGAGTACCACATTTCTGGTTTTCCCTTAGGGAAAAAACCATGGGGATCAGAGGCACCATTTAACATGAAAGCCAACTTGGACATCTTCAAACATCATGCTCCAAGGAAGCTACTGCAGCTACTGGCTGCTGGATCATCATCCCCGTCCAGTTCAGAGTCGCCAAATGCATCTGGACCTCAGCACACGACCGAATCTGTCAATCGATTGAAGGAAGGGACATTGTTGCAGGAAACCCCAAATATCGGGGTTTCCTCGACATTGTCCCTTTAAGCAACTCTCAAAATCTGAGTTTTGACAATATCTACATTCCACTTATCCCGACAAAAACAGATATTCTAAGTCCAAAACGTTCCTTCAAGGTCAGGAGCCAGACCCATCACCATTTCAATATAGCTATTGCTCAAAATGGGCCACCAGGGACCCCCGGAATCACCAGCAAAATGAGAAAAATGACCATCTTGGGCTAGCGATGACCATCAGCAGTCCTGCAATGTTCCTCCATATTTAAATGCGGTTAACAAATGATATCACCATGTTACCATATTTACCATATGTCAATTATTTTCAGTAGTGCATTTCCTATGATGAATATCATTTACTCATCATGAATGTAGGAAATATTTACCATCATCATCATCATCATCATCATCAATCATTAATAATCAATAATAGCCATTAATAACCATTATATAATAACCATTGATAACCATCATCATCATGTATCTTCCCTCGTGATCATATGATCAATGTTGTTATTCTTGAGCCAAAATTTGGGTGAGTTTTCGCATCATCACAGCCCAGCTTCAGGGCGCGTACTTGGTGAGAAGCTCTTGCGACTTCGTCCATGTGTCTCGGGAGTTGCGATGGAAGTGCCTGGCGAACTTCGAGCGATAAGCTGTGGGGATATACGGATGGGGCGAGTCAGTATGTCTGTACATATTGTATGTTACATCATATGTATAATTATACATGTGTATACAGATGTCGATATATCTAGCAACCCAAAAAAAACAGAAAACTTTACTAACCTACTGAATCAGTGATGAATAACGTAAAAATATCCCTCAGACCAAGCGATTTCATCGGTGAGTCTTCGGATTGAGTGGTCATCCCAGTTTTGGGGGCGGTGAAAGATGCCGGCCATCAACCGCAGCTGTCTGGAAAATCCCAGTGCCATGGAAAAAAGGACACCGCGAAGAAAGGACGGTTGAAATCCACAAAAAGCAAGTGAAACCGTTCCAAATGGGCACAAGATGGCAGAAGTGAAACATACGAAAAACGCTTTCCCCTTTTTATATCCCCAGTATATCCCCATTGTATCCCCACCTGCAATGGGTACAGTTCTTGGTTTCCATTTTTCGAAGAAAATGACACAACAACCCGTGGATCCAAAGGTCTTCAACACATGGCGGGCTGACAACTCCATGACCTTGGCTTTGGTCCACTTTTGCTCCAAAAAGCTCCCTTCAAGTCTGGGAAGTTCAGCACAGCTCGGAGCATGTCTCCAAGAACTCCAAGAACGGCGAAGAAAACCAGAATCTACCAAATTACCACTCGGAACACAGACAAATCCCTGCAGAACCAGGTGCCCGGCGAGGAATTGGTTGTTCTAGGTGTTGACAAAAGGCGTGCCACGTGCCTGCGTGGTGACAACACATTTCAAGGATTCTCAGGGTGTGTCATATTTAGTATCCAGAACATCCAAAAGTTCTTCTTTAAGTCACTTGCATTCCCTTCACCAAAAACTACTTGCCTTAAACATCATGATGCGATGGAATCAGATGACTTTGGCAGCTGTGGCTCAGTACAAATGGGATCAAATGGGTGACTGTAGCGAAACAGCACACATGAGTTATGGCTGTTAGTGTCATTCTTATATTGTTGTTACTGTTACTATTGTCATCAATGATCATTGTCATTTTTATAAACACGCTCATAAAGATAGAAATATGGCCGTATTATGTAAACATGATATATATTGTAGCTTGAGTGAGTACAAGTCCTTTGTGAACTTCCAGCTATTATCACAGCATGCGCCAAACAAAGACTGTCATCTCATCTCCGTTCTTTCTGCGTCGCAGGACCAACCGAGGGCAGATCAAAGATCAACATGCACCGAAAGAAAAAACGGGTTTACCATGGTTTACCAGTTCACCATCTAATCTGTTTTCCACAGAAATAGTATAAATGGGTCTTGCCATCAGCATGATCAGCCTAGCTTTTACCATCGCACGTGGGGGGTCCTGTAGTGCTTTCCACTCTCTCATGAACCCAACTTTCCACAACAAGTGTAAATGCCCCTGGGCAGGTCAAGAGAAACATGTTCCAAAGCTGTTGCCGACCACTTTTTCTAAGAGCCACTTGGCTTTGCCAAGAGCTAAAGGTGAAAACAGCATGCTGGGAAGCATGCCACTGGCTGCGAGTTTCCTTTCCGAAGTGAAGAGTATCTCTTTCCAACTCCATATCTCTGGACATCAAAGGTTCAACGTCGAGCGATCTAAATTGTACCAAGCAATATCTCACCCCAGCCGCAACATGTCACCCATGCCATTGCAACGACTCAGAGAGACTGTCCGCCCTCATTACAGTCCCATCTTTTTCGCCTGTGAAGGCCTCAGAATCCACGCAGCCCCAGCCCTGCTTGGCAAGAGTCAGGTCAGGGATTCCACATTTCAATCCTCAACAAGGGGGTTTTCTTGCTGCCCAAGGCTCTTTGGAAACCAACCCTGCGCGGCAGGCTCCTGCAAAAATGAGGGGGAACGCATCAAGGTATCCCCCAATTTGTGACCATTTTAAGTAGGAGAATGAGATTTTGACCCTTAAAATGGAATGGAGTTTCAAATTTTCAGACAACACCAGCCTCTGACAACCGAATCATGGCAGAGTGGGAAGATCAGTAACATCCTTTTTGGTACCTGTACAGACCAGAAAAATATCCACATTTGACCAGTCTTCCAGTCTTCCAGTCTTCCAGTCTTCCAGTGCCCAAACTTCCCAGTGCCTTACGGTTGGCAGTCTCTGGACCATGGGATTCCACCTCAGATGCTTATAGAAAGCACCAGGGAAACCATATCCTGGGTGGGGAGGGTGGGGAGGACGCCACTGCATCATCCAGTGGGGCAGGGCCCGGGTCGCTTTCGGTGTTCCCACGAGTGATCAGCATCACAGTTGTTTTGACCAAATTGGGGATAGGTTAAAACCTCTGGAAATCCATTGAAATCCCATATTTGGGAACGATGAACATTCATTCACCAGCTATTTGTGGGTTCACCAGGGGCCAGGGCCTTTGTAGTGCGATTGATCTACCTTCCTAATGGGATGAAATTCACATTGTAACTTAGCAGGCGCTCGAGACGCAGCGGCCACTCATGGATTTCACCCAGTGTATTTGCGAACCACCAAATACCACCAAGAATCAAGCAGTTTTATTGTTTCAATCCCCCTTTTCGTCTCTAAACTCCCAATCTCTATTTGCTTTGGGGATGGCTCGAAGTTATCAACCTTGAAATAAAATGGAGAGTTTGCCTGTAAATTAACCAATAAACTGTGGCTGAATTGGTACCCAAGGACCTGACCCATGCCCACTTGATGATCAGTTCCTTTCTAACCTTTGTCAATACATTGGATTGAAGCTGAGAACTTTAACTGGAAAACTGTTGTTTTTGCACATCTCTTCTTTTTCTGCATTTTTGTTCTAGAAAACACCAACAAAAAAAGAAAAACAGCCACAAAGTGAGACTGTCCGAGCCGCTACAAGTTCAAGGACGCCCTCTTTCCGCAACTGTTCGTACATGCGATGTACGTTGCCCGAGACGCCATTGACCTGTGCCACCAGTATCCCGGGGCAGAGATGGGTTTTCCCAGGAGTGTTCATAGATATTGGATTTACATGGATTTACTATATTAAATATATTAGTATATAGGAAATATCGAATCTTCTGGCAACCCACTTTGGATCAGTGCCTAGATAGGAGAGAAGGCTCACCCCAGGACAATTCCTTGCTCCAGATCTGGATGATGCGTCTGGATCACCCCATTCTGCCATCCGTCGATGCCTCCACAATCCGAGTTCCAGTGGTGACCTGAAAATCGCGAGCTGCCCCACCGAGCGAAGGGGATGAAAGTGTAGAATCGTGGGATACAATTTGTAATATGCCAAAACTGTGATTGTATGTTGATGTATATTGATGTATATTGTATATTGTCTGCAGTTTTGGCAATACAAACTTGCAGAATCTTGCAAGCATGGTTTGAAAAATGTAGTGTGTGCATGTGTCCATGTGAGCAGTTCCTCGGGCCAAATCCGAAACAATGGAACTGCCGGAACTACCCTCGGGCCTGCTCAAACATGGAAAATCCCCGATTTACTCTGCATTTCCCATTTTTCAATGCCCATCTAATCCAGGATTTCCAACCCACCGGTTTTTTTTTCCACAGGGTGCATTCTTAGATCCCATTGTTGTTGGCTAAATCCCGTATATTCCCATGATATCCCCATGATATCCCCATGATATCCCCATATCGCAAATGGTTAAATGGGTAAATTCACCATCATACCTCATCATGTTTCCCTAGTTTTCTTGCCTTCATCATGTTTAATCCGATGTTTTTCATATATATATATATCTATCTATCTATCTATCTATCTATCTATCTATCTATCCCTTATATCCCCATTATAAAACCAGTTTAAAACCAATTTTCCCATGGTTTTCCCATGGTTAAAACCCATTTTCATCCGGCATCCACGGATTTCATAGCGCCTTCTCCAGGGGATTCTGCTCGTTCCATTCCGGCACCGCGCCCAAGTCCAAGACTTGATCCACCCAAACCTGGCCCCGTCATAGAAAATATGGCAAAGTGAGAAAGTTGGATGCAATTCATGAAATATTTAGATGATAGATAATGGGGATTATAATAGTTCACTATATGTAGATTACCAGTAGTACCGCACAAGGCGGTGGCGGAAGTTTCAAAAATAGGAAACCTATAGGAGAGATTGGTTGTTGTGAATCAGGGATGGCAGAGCGAATCCACTAATGGACCGAAAGGTGCTTGAGGTCTCCTCTCTTTCTCTCTCTTTCTCTGACTATCTACCTACCTACCTATCTATCTATCTTCTATGTATCTATCTATCTATCTATCTATCTATCTGTCTGTCTGTCTGTCTGTCTGTCTATCTGTCTATCTGTCTATCTGTCTATCTGTCTATCTGTCTATCTGTCTATCTGTCTATCTGTCTATCTGTCTATCTGTCTATGTATCTATCTACCTATCTGTCTATCTATCTATCTATCTGTCTATGTTTCTATCTGTCTATGTATCTATCTACCTATCTACCTATCTACCTATCTACCTATCTACCTATCTACCTATCTACCTATCTACCTATCTACCTATCTACCTATCTACCTATCTACCTATCTACCTATCTATCTATCTATCTATCCATCTATCAATCTGTCTATCTGTCTATCTGTCTATCTGTCTATCTATCTATATCTCTCTCTCTCTCTCTATCTGTCTATCTATCTATCTATCTATTTATCTATCTTTCTCATCTGTCTATCTATCTATCTATCTACCTATCTATCTATCTATCTATCTCATCTGTCTATCTATGTATCTATCTATCTACCTACCTACCTATCTATCTATCTAGCTGTCTCTCTATCTATCTGTCTATCTGTCTATCTATCTAGCTATCTATCTATCTCATCTGTTTATCTAACTACGTATCTATCTATCTGCCTATCTATCTATCTATCTCTCTCTCTCTCTCTGTCTGTCGGTCTGTCTATCTATCTACGTCTCTATCTGCAAGCTTGAAAACGAAGCTATTCTGCAAGACTTCTTCATTTTTCAAAGTTGACAACATCAAAAACGAAGCAATTCTGCGAGACGTCCTCAATATTTGAACTTGACAACGTCAAAAACGAAGCAATTCTGCGAGACGTCCTCAATGTTTGAACTTGACAACATCAAAAACAAAGCAATTCTGCGAGACTTCTTCATTTTTCAAAGTTGACAACATCCAAAACGAAGCAATTCTGCGAGACGTCCTCAATTTTGAAACTTGACAACATCCAAAACAAAGCAATTCTGCGTGACTTCTTCAATTTTTGAACTTGACAACATCAAAAGCAAAGCAATTCTGGGAGACTTCCTTCAAAAATGGAAAGTTGAGCGCAGCGCTGACGGCCTCGTACCAATGCGTTTTGCGATTTTTCCACTCCACCTGTCTAAAGTACTGCGCCTGCCACGAAAAATTGATGCCAGGTCATACGAAGTGCTGCACCTGTCACGCAAAATCATCTTAGGAAACCGACAGATCTGATGCTCCAACATGCAACCTCTCTCAGGAAATCAGCGCCCTAACCTCCTAACATCACTGATGAACATGTCTTTTGTACTGCGCCTGCTACGCGAGATGCATCTTTGCAGATCCTCTTCAAATGTCCCACGCCTGCCATCGTTTTTGGAAATGGCATAAAACCCTCACGTTTTGCTCACTTTTGAGAAGGTGCACAATCCCTTGCGCCTGCCACGCGAAACGACGTCTTAACGTCCAAAAGTGGTCCGAATCCCTAGTGCTTTTAACATGTTGACTTCGAAATGTGCTTCGCGCCACAACGGCCTGCACTTTTTCATCTCTCATCTGGCCAGATGGCTCCGCACCTGCCGCTCTTCTCTCTTGTACTCTTCTCTTATCTCTGACTCTTCCCATCTCTGCTTTTCATCTGTCCATATTGTCGGAAGTTTGACTTCTAAACTTCCTTCGATAATATTATATATACGTATATATACTAGTGATTTCTACCATAGGTGATAGTGAAGATAAACCTGACTAATGTAGATAAATGTGGTAAATCACTATATTTAGATGATTTTTTTTTGGTGAATTACTATATGTCAGTCAAAGTTAGATAGATAGTTGCACAAATCTGGCTGAAATCATGCTAAATTCAACCGTTCACTAACCTGAAAACGGTTGAAATATGTCGAAATCAACCAAAATCGTTGGAGGCAAACTCTTGTACCCTCTATCTTTTTGAGGGTTACTAGAATACGAGGAATACGAGAAGTTATATGCTATACACTGCTATACAGTAGACAAAGACGTAGATGGATAGATTTTCAGAGCTACCATGAGCATAGCAGCTATCCCATCTTTACGCCCACACCGAGTGCTTTATTACCACCAAGCCATGTTTTGTGCTCTTCAGTGTAGCGCATAAAAAAACGCATCTGTCATCTCACCCGCCAAGTCATGCCAGCGGCTCGGAGCTTGCATCAAAGTCAAGGAGGGTCACTCCAAGTTTGCCTTGGCTGTTTTTGGATGCGAACTGGATTCCTGGATGGAAAAAAACCTGGGTTCAGAAAAGCTGCTGAACATGTTTGAAAAGTATCATGGGTTAAGAAAGCCATCCCCCTTTTTGGTGACATTCGCGGATGTTCGTAAGAGGCAATCATATGGACTAACTTTTGACCCGTCTCCAGCTCGTATGAGGGCCATTCGATGGGGATAAAGTGCATTGGTCTCTCCAGAGCTTTTTTCTTGTGATCACACCCTAACTTCAACCATGGGCCCGGGATAGGTCAGTTGGTTTCTGACTGTCATATAACTGACAGTTTCGGTGGACATCAATCTGCGGTGGACACCAGGGCGGGTCCTGTGGATGGAAGAAATCCACCAGGTCACTGCGCGGCTCACGAATCACTAACAGCCGCTTCTTCACAGGCCGTCGGAAACGAATCACCGCCTGCCATGACTGATCAACATGAGCCTTGCAATATGAAAGGCACCCTCATCAAAGGACAATGGTTGCATTCCGAATATATAATGTTTGACTTCTGTGGAAAATTGGCACCACAAGTTCCTTGTTGTTTGGGATCTTTGTAGTATTGAATTTCCCAAACGCTGTAGAATCAATCACCTTGTTAGACCACCGCTGAAAGGCTGAGTGACTTCAAGGTCAACGCTTTCAACAGCTTGGTATGCTTCATAAACGGGTCACTGCAAGAAGAATGATAGATCAGATAGATCTATGGTAAAATTCATCAAACATCCTAATGATATCCTAATGATCCTTACTAAAACTCACCTTTTTTGCTGCCCGTTTTGCTGCATTACTACGCCAAGCGCCTCCGATGATGCTCGGAGTTCATCGACCATCTCGAAGCAATCGCTGAGGCCGTTCACCTCGATGGGGATGTGATGGCGCCATGGGTTTGACCAATGGTTTGATGTTAGATATGGGGGTTAATAATTGATGGTTAATATTAACAATGACCAATGGACTATTAATCACCATTAATGACTATTAATCACCAATATGATGTTAGATATGGGGCTCAATGTAGTCCGCTTCGGCCGTCTACTTTGAGATCAGCAGGAAAAGTGATGGGAAAAGTGATGTTAGATATGGGGGTTAGATGGGGTTAGCGGATGACTAACTAGTTGGATGTTAATTGAGGATGATGCGGAGCTTTGCGATGACGGATGTGTTCATGATTCACGAACTTGCAGGACTTGGAGGAGCAGGTGATGCATGTCCTACCACTATCACTCACCTTTCGGCAGAACCGCCATTCCAATACAAATGCAGGGTCGGAGGATGTCGTCAGAGATTGCAGATCACAGGGTCGCGATTCAAATTGACTTTCCTCCGAAGAACACGGATGGGTGGATTTTACTGCGCTCCCGGAAAAAAAAATGGCCTAGAGACTAGAGACCCTTGCGGGATTTCGCTGTACGCACAGCCGAACTCTAGGCTGCCCTGCTTGGAGGATTCGAAGATTTGGCTCGATCTGCCGGTCTGGATAGATCTGGCCAAAGGACATCAAGGTCCCAGGAAACAAAATGACCCAAAGATTTCAAAGGTTTCGATTCCTGTTCCTCACCTTGACACAGACGCGGAAGCTGGGTCCCCAGACCGTGTTCCACTTGGTTCCTGGACCTTTGTCCACTTGCACCACCACTACCAAACCAGTGGCGCCATTGCCTCGGCACAGCCAAGTTGACAGCTGGGCCACAGGCCACGATCCTGGGCCCCCGTGCAGTTCACGGCGATGTTGTAGCCTGTTTCCAGGCGGGTGTAGAGAGTCGCCTGAACCGGCTGACATCAGCTGGCCACGGATGTTTTTGTTCAAAATACCACTTTGATGAGATCCAAATTGTTTCATCCCATGGTCACCAATTGTGTTGCTTGGTTCCCTCAAAGGTAAGTCCGCTTCCACTAACCCGCCCCCTATCCACCCTGTGGCTCTTTGCAAGGCCTGGAACTCTCTGTCTGCAGGTGTCTGCACGGCTTCACGGACGAAGGTCCAACCCGTCCCCACAAAAAAAGAGAAAAACACAGGGCTTGTACTGCAGTTTGATGCAATCGGCCACGCCAAAACAGCGCGAAGCCGGCCTTGGGCTGGAAGACACGCTTGAGAAATGGCATCCTTAGCGAAGGATGCTGCAGCTCACAACAAGACTGTAGTCCACACGGAAACAAGCACCAACTCTTACAACTGCAAGCCTAATCATTCGGTTCCTCATACTTCCTCTACATAACTACACGTTTTCATAGGATTGACCATTGACAAGGACTTAAAAGAGAACATGTGATCCTTGATCCCAATAAAAATGAGGCCATCAACGTGAATGTTTTTTTTCACCTCTCATTGTCCCACTGAATGAAGAAACATGTTGGATCTTGTCACATCCTTTTGGAAATGCTGAGAGCGTTGCTGACTTCGATCGATTTCATCTGTCATCTTTGGCACGGGTCTCGGGACATTCTCTTTCAAGTCCTGCAAAAAAAAGACATGCGCCATGGAACACAGTCATTAGGGATATTCGGGTTTCCATAAATAGGGGTACCCCCATAGCTGGATGGTTTATAAGGGAAAATACAATTAAAATGGATGATTTGGGGGTACCCCCATTTTAGGAAACCTCCATATCCATTATCTAGCTATCTAGCTAGCTACCTAGCTAGCTCGCTGTCCGTCCGTCCGTCTGTCTCTATATTATCTCTGCCTATGTAAATATACAGTACATCTGTGTAATATATACAATCAAACATAGGTGTGATACAAGCAATGAAACTAAAAATGGTGCGAACTGGAAATCATTGGCACTTAACAATGGCTTGTTGACCAAGAATCAGTGTGAGATGCCCAAAAAACTCACCAAAGCAGTCCTCGAAGGTGTACTCAACGGGATTCCCTGGGACCACTGACCACGGTTCGGTGTGTTTTTGGCCGTGGTATCCAGTGGCTGTTCTTCTGCAGTTCCCTGCCTTCTTCCAGTTCTGCAATGCAAGGCCTCGGAATCCCATGGAATCCCATGGAATCCCAAAAACAACCAATGGTAATGACATCGCAGCGTTGGACCTGTTGGACCTGTTGGCCCCTAGGCAGTTGTTGTGTTATTAGATGTTATTCGTGGTTGTAACATGTTGTTTTCCGGGTAATTTCTAGCCCGATAGTTGGGATCTAACCCCCTTCAACTATGCACCAGTTCTATCTACTGTGGAACTGCAGCCTGATGGAGTCAATCCTGAGAGCCCAGCGAGCCAGCCTCATTGCCCTCCTCCATTGACTTTTCGTCGACTCCACCTACAGATCGTAAGGCAGCTCCAGTCGATCCAGTCGGTACAAGGAAACACTCCCATGGCCAGGCAAGTGGATGGATGAATTGCAACTGTGCATTTGAATTGAAAACTGAATGTTACGTACCCTCTGGTAAACGTTTACATAACGAACTGGAAAGATCCACCATTTTTAATGGGAAAACTCACTATTTCGACTGGGCCATTTTCAATAGCTATGTAACAAATTACCAGAGGGTAATAGGAAAAAATGTGTGTTTGTTTTGTACCTATATTTGTTTGAGCTGGCCATGTTGGTTGGTGGTTCTGGCTCCACGCTCGTTGTTGCCTGCAACCCAGGGGGTGCAACATCCCCAATCTCATCAATCCCCTTTCAATCAGCAATTCTCCTATCTGTAAGTGGAATCGTCTGAAAACAGGATACCCAAGAATCCAGGAAACAAACATAAATGCTTGGTTTTTCACCATATATTGACTTGTTGGCAACAAACCTCCTATTCTTGGATTGTATCCAGATGATGTCCTAACTTTTTTTCCCATGAGATTCTCAGTATTTCCCAAAAATCCACATGAGTTAAAGCCTCCAGCCAATTGCATCTGCCGGACCGTGCCTATCCGGCACCGGAGTCGTGACGCGCCCAACCGTAACGAGTCGAGCAGCGCAGCTGCAAGAAAAATTCAGGTGTTTGCCAGCCAGTGTTGACTAATTTTAGTTGTTCTTGAGTGATATAGGAATTGGGAGTTGGGTAAAATGTCCAGGAAACCCAAGCCATCCATGGTTGGGGTCATACCCAACATCTCAAGGAGAAGCCTCTTCAGCTCTAACCACGTTAAAGCATCTAGGTATTTTGATAGTCTGGATATGGATCTGTCCTAAGGGTTCCAAGCATCGTCTATTTGAACCAATGGGTTTCAGGTCTCCCCAATTTCGTGAAGTGGAACCATCCCCACTAATGTGGTAAACCCAATAACAAACCATCCCCAAAATCACCATAAATGGGTGGTATAAACCATCCCGAGTAGGTTTATTACATACAATTTATATACCATATATGTACTGGGTTGCCAACATTATTTTTAGCATATTGATTGTTCATGTCAGGGACTGCCCACTCCCTGACCCTGCGGCGGGGGCCAGGCACGTCGATCCTGGGGAAGTGGAACGAACAGGGCTCCTGGCAGTCGACTGCAGAATTTGGCCATGCTTCTTGTTTCATTTGTTTCTATCCCCCAAAAAAACATCCTTTGCTCAAAAATGTCAATGGAAAACATCCCCATTCTACAGCAACTTCTTTCCGGCCTTCCCGAGGCGCCCGACAGGGAGTGGCCAGCCTCGAAGGCGCAGCTTGGCTGATACGCATTCAAACTGAGAAAGGCATCCAGAAACCTGGGATGATCTTGATCATTTTCTGGCATCAAAATTATCAATTTTGGTTCAAAAATATTCCAAGCATCAATTTTGAAGATTCTAGGCATATTCTAAGCATTTTGGGGATTCTGTTTGGAAGTTGAGATCTAAATCGCGGGCGTTCTTGCGCCACCGATTTTCAGGTCGCCAACCTCTGACAGCCCCTTGCGCTCGCTGGCACCTGAAATCCATTTGGAATCTGGAGATCAACGAGATGAATCTAAGGTAGCATACATTGAGGATACATATAGTAATACATATATATATATATAGTAATATGTGAATATATATATATATACACACTAATATGTCTATATATTAGTAATATAGTAATATATACTATATATATATATAGCGTGTGTATATATATATATGGGGATGTGCATCCTGCACCAGTTGGTAACTATCGGTGACTGTGAAACACTGTAAAGAATTGGATTATAATGGGATAAACCATCTACCAACTAGTGCAGGGTTTCTTTCGTCCAGAGTATATATCATCTAAGACATTGAAGATAACAAATATTAAGAATATCAATGTGAGTTTTGTATTTTTTGTCGCATTGACCCATCGGCAATCCACCAATATCGTTCGTGGTTGATATTGATAATCAATGGATATCAACACTTGATATCATGGGGTATCAATGTAAGTGCATTCACTACATTCACTGGTATATCACAAATATGATATGTATCTTACGTGAATCTTAACCAGCCCATAAGTCAGCCAAGGCAATGACTCAATGACTCGTGCCCTTTCGAAAGGGCGCCTCTCTGATCACTGGACTCTGCCGGACTTGTCCAAGGACGTAGCCTGGCAATCTGGCAATGATCTAATGACCTGAAACCAAAAATCTCAAGAAGTTCAGGTCGGGACCTTAAAGATACAAAGTGGGGCCCCCGGCCACGATAGCTAAGTTGGTGCCAATAACTCCAATGTCACTATGGTTTATGGTACTTATAACGAACTAGTTTCTGGGGCTTATAAACCAACTTATAACTAGGGGGCCCCACACTGTAGCAACCAAATGACCTGACCCCCGGATCATCACTGCCGAGGATAGGAAGGCTAGCTGGGATTCCAGCATGACCAAGCACTGCAGCAAATCACCCAGGATGTCACACCCACAATGTCAAACAATTGATATAGCTTTGTCTGAAAATCGGGTATATCCAAGTTTTCCACTAAATCCACTGAAAATGTCATCACTTCCATGAAAATAGGTGTCTTTTTTGAATCCCCCATTGTCAGTCACACCCCAAAAAATTGAGTGGAGCCGCGCTTCGCGCGGTTCATCATCACCGCTACAAGAAACGCCGCTCTGAGCTAAGCACCCCGTTTCTGTGGTTTTTCACCAGTGGCTATGCGTTATTTCTACCCAAACGTCTTCGAAAATAGGCTACCCCACCCAAAAACTCATAGTAAAAATATGTTCAAAAAACCCGCACCATTTTCCCTGTTAAAATATCGCACTGGTGGAATTCTTCAAGCCACAGCGCCTTGGAGTGGCGGTCACCTGAGGTGAAATCAGATCAACTTCCCAAAAATCTGGGTAAATGTGTAGTAGATGTGGTAAGCTTAATCACCGTTTCTGATTTGTTGGATGTTCTGATTAACAAAAAAACAACAAACATGTTCTAGTGAAATATGTTGGGTCGAAAATGAAAGCGCACAAAGCGAGCTGTTGAACCTGCCGGTCGTGGATTGTTGGTGGGCCATCGTTGAAACAGCCATCTAGAAAGACCCTCCATTTTTTTTTTTTAAGCCGTCCAAATCTTCAAAAGTCATCCGCAAATGTGTTCATTGGTGATTTAATGGTGATTTAATGGTGATTTAATGGTGTCATGTCCAGTACTTCCAGCCACATTGCCATGTTTGCCGCTGCTCTCCTGCGGATCGCAAATCGCACCTTTTTTTACTTCACAAAAACCATATCGAGTCAACCCGGAGGGGCTCCCTGGTGGCACTCCGCAAAGCCACTACGAGGTGAAATAAAACCACCAGAACCAGAACCAGTGACCTAGCCAGTGAGGAATTAGAATGAATTAGATACACTTCTTCCATGTTCTTCCCAATGGACAAATAAAACACGGAGAACATTCAATAAGAAACCGCATGTTTTTGTTAAATCTGATGCAGGTCTCAAAGCTGAAACACTCCCATTTCCGCCATTTCTGCGCTTTTCTTAGCCGTCCATTCGTGGCTTCAAAACGAGGATTGCACAGTTCAATTTGTCAGATGGAAGAAAATCTTTGCTAAGCCAAGCTGTGCCCTTACAGTGCAATTCTCTGGATCATTCCCAAAGTTCACACCGCAAACTTCAACCTTAGAAAAGCGGACTCAATGCCTTTCAGACTCAACAAACTATGCCGTTCCACCAGAAAGCGTACCTCCAGACCTCCAACACCAGTCAGCATCGTTTCATTCACCAACAAAAAAACACAAAACCTAGATTTCAACTGGAACCCCAAAAAAAAGTCATGGATTCAATGGTAACATCGAATTGGAAAGTTGCATCTTCCAAACAGCAGGTTTTCTAAGCCCAACGTCGATGTTTGGCAACGTCCGTTGCGGCCGCGCCGCACCAAGGAACTCTGCGTATCAAGCAAGATGCTTCGACGATCAAACAGCGCCTTGGCCCTGCGATCTGCAATGTCCTGGCGGAAAGTTTCATCAAAACTCCTGGTTTTTCAAAAGGCCCGATAAAAAATCCCATAAGATGCAATATATCAAATAAACATACAGTAGCATACCTTCTATTGGAATCTCAAGAAATATTTTTTGTCCACTTCTGGTGACTGTTTTTTCATTGCCATAGGGGCCTGCTTGATGAGGGCATTCTCCAGGGACTGTGCTTGCCTTGGGATCATCCCCGCACGTCGAAAACGCAAAGAATACAGCTATGGAAAAAAGAAACACTTTTCCAAAAAACACAGAAACCATTTCAAACAAAAAAAGAAATATAAAAAAATCTCTAGAAACCATAGAAACCATAGAAACAAGAGGTTTTCGGTGATCTTCCCCATTTCATCAAGTGGTGAAATATCCCAGATCACGAGCAAAACCCGATGGAAGAGATTCTGCAGATTCTGAGTACATCCTGAGGCCATAATGAAAACGGTTCAAGAAGTCGGTCAGTTTCGGTGATCATCGAAACCTGGTTGTGGATCTTCATCCCCCAATCTACTCGTTGGCGATTGGAAATGAATGAGGCTTTCTGGATGTACCCAGTACCTGGCTGAATGATCATATTTCTTCACATTTCATAAGCCTGGAATGAACCATCATTCAATCATTTCAATGACTATAACAATACTGTATAGGAACCCAAAAAAAGGGATGCAGAAAAGTCCACTAAACTGGTAAACTAATGGTAAATTCTGCCTTTTCCGCATCAATTCTCCAGGAGATTGGGCTGATTCCCCCCTTTTTCAACCGTCAGTTCCATCAGCACGTCCAAGGGACTGCTGCATGATGCCCTTGCGGCATGCGTCGAAGCTTTCGAAGGAGGGCAAGCACTTCCTTAGTGCTAAGATCAGGGGGGCCCTGCCTTCGGAGCTGGGCTAAATAGCAACAAAAACGGTGTTTCGATCCAACTTGATCCAACCATTTCATGGTTATATTGGAATCTAATGAGGATAGAGTGAGAATACAGTTTAACATGTTTAACTATGGATATCAACATGGGATAACTACCAACTTAATAAAAGCCTATCATTTCACCGGGAATATAAGGAGGAGCCAAGAATATGAGATGGCTCTGGATCTGGGGAAAATCGACATTTTGGGGATCCCCCTATTTTTTGGACAAAGCTCTAGGGATACCGAGGGATTATCCCAAGAAAATATTGGAACATTTTGAGCCATAGTGGACAAACGAATGATGTGTTAAAAAAAGGAAACACATCGCCGACGGCGGATGATTGATACGGATTCCTGGATCATCTCCAAACATTTCATCCATTTCTGGTGAGAATATCTTCCAGACAAAACGATGTCTAAAACACCTCATTTTTCTGGGGAAAATCACAAAATGTTTGACACAAACAAAATGTTTGGTTCAAGGATCATCAGTCGCGTTGAGGCCTTGTCCTTGAAGTTCTCCTGCAGGCACCGGAGGTAGCTGCTGCCAGCGACTCTGCAGGGATGCTCCAAATCCTTGGAACGACAGATCGATCGATCCACCGGTAACATGTGGGGAACAGCAGCTAAGTCAGCCAGCTAAGTGTGGTCGAGGCACGGTGGAGTCCTTGAAGATCTTGGAGTACATGTCCTTGGCTGAAAAAATGATTAAAACCCTCTGGTAAATTAACACTTTGACCCTGCCAGATAGGGGTTGGAAGATTAGTTTCCATTAAAACTAGGTAAAAAGTGTCACTATCTTCGAAACCTGAGAGCTCTGTCCCCGCAGATTGGCTGGGCATTTTCAGAAATCAGCACCCACGTCCAGGAAAGTAGACCATTTCGATTTCGACCCATTTTTTCAGTGTAGAAATGTTGTTAGGACATCAACGACCCAACAGCAGTGACCCAAGGTTCCACTTTCATCTGCTTGGCATTGGAACTCAAAGAGTCCTCCAATTCGGGCTTGCCCTGCACCAAGTCAGACCACATCACCTGGGCTCAGTTGCAGTGAGTGTCCTACCTTTTTCCAAGAAATATCAATAAAATATTCAATGCTGTGAAACTCCGTCTCTATTTGGCTCGAAGTTTTTGGGACCGTATTCACCGTATTCCGGATTCATGCAATTCTTAGGATTCCTTCCCAAAAAGTTCTGAATTTTGCTGGTGTTTGATGTGGTCACAATGCATCCTGGTCCTGATTCAGCACAGGACCTTCTGCGCATCGGGAATGTTGGGATTGGCCATAGACCTGAGCGGTGTCACATGCGTATGGTGCCTATGGGTCAAAATGTTTGACCCCAAAAAGATTGCATGGCAGCATACAAAAAAAGATCAATTTCATGGGTCCGTTGATATGATGTGTTTGACCCATACATGGGTTTGTCTGAAAATAGGGTATATTCCCAATTATAGCCATTTAGTAGGGATAATGATCATTAACCATTGGGTTTAGGGGTACACTATTTTCAGACACACCCACATACACACACCGAAACCAAAAAAAAATGGAGCTGATCCTGCACAGTCCTGAGCTCCAGCGCAATCCACTGAAGTTATTCTCATCTAAAGCCTCGTAACAGTGCGGGAGCTGCGGCATTGCCACCCTTGGGAACAACATATTGCCACCCTTGGCTTCACCCCATTCCAAAAAATGCGAAAGTCAGTTGGGAATCATGACTCAGCTTGGCATGGAAAGCAAAAATCCCATCCCATCCCATCAGAATTAATCCCCTCAAAAAAAATGCTAAAAAATGATTCCCACCAGGAATCCATCCCACCAGGATTTTGATAAAATGGGGGGTATTTCATTTTGATAAAAGTGGCAGGAGAATCCAATGGTTTTTTTCCTGTAGGCTACCCCAAACTCCGGTGGCTGATCCGATTCAAACTACTTGGATGCACAGATCCGATTGTCCATGTGGTGTCCCCCACAAATCCCGAAAATCCAATGGTGTACCATCTAATGTTCCCTTTTATGTTTATAATTGTTTATACAATTCACTGAAAAAAATCCGTGGTATATGCTAGACCCCAGTTTCCGACACCATATCACATAGTCGTCATTTTTGTTTTGGTCATATCCCATGAAATCAACCTAAAGGGCCTGGTTTCATCAAATTCATCAATATGTTTGCTGGTTAAATCCCCCATTGGAATCATTTACAAACCATCTCCGAGTACCCCGAAAACAACAGCAGTGCCTTCTTCATCGCAATATTGCGCTCCATGGCAAATCGGCGCTGCAAGAACCAATCCTGGCACCGGTAACCCAGATTTTGGACCCCAAAGACCAGCCAAAGTCAGCAAAACACCCAAAATTTTCTCCCACTGCACATGTCACGAGTAATCACTCTACAAGTTTTCCAAATGCCGCAATTCTGATGAACACGAAACCCTCCACAACAAGGGTCTCCTTCAACTCTCCCTCAATAAATTTGATCTCTTTCCTCATAGACATCACAGTGGGTGTGAGATGCGGAAATCTGCCGTTGTTCTGTGCGGAAAATAGTCGTTTTGTTCATTCCAAAGGCAACATGACTAGGGCCTTGTTTCTGAAAATTCAGCATGTGTAGACTGCTGAAATGCAAAAAACATCAAACAAACTATCAAATCCACTCTGTTTGACACTTTGGTCATGATTGCGCTTCCATTTGCAGTTCTTTTTGCAACAAAGCGGCTGGCTGTACTCCTGCAAGAAATCACAACAATTCCAATTCCCATCTGAGACCGAAGCGAATTCAGCTCAAAAATGGGTCATTTTTGAAGCCTGATGGAAACCTGACGTCCACGACCAGCGCGATGCTCCTCATATCGTCCAGCCGCACCCATCCCCGCAGGCGGCATGTTTCACGACGGCCCGGTGTGTGACGAACTGTGGCCGCAAGGATCGTAGGAGCCAGTGGCTGCAGAAGAAAAAAAAAGAGGTGTTCAATGTCAGCCCTGGATTCCAAAACCAGAGAGTTGTGACTGAATTACTCTATTTAGGGGTCTATTCAACTATTCCAGAATTGTCTTAATCACTTTGAGAGAATGACCAATTTATGTACCAAGAGTTGCTGATCCAGATTGGACAATACAAAATCAAAACATTTCACAAATGATCCCGCCGATCCCGCCTCCACTTCGTTCGTCCCATCGCCGAATGCCTCTCCTTCGCCGATTTGCATCATGGCAAATGTCACGGCAAAACTCTGGTACTATCATGTTTTGTGTCCATGATCACGGAATTGATTTGCAAAACTGTGATTGTCTAAGCCAATCATGTCAAATTTGAATGACGGCATATTCGGTTTTCCATGTTGTCTTTGAATCCATCAATTTGTGCCGAATTGACTCACTTGTTGAACGTAAATGAAGTTGTTGCATGTTGGATGTTCCTTGGAGCAGATGAAATTGCCACGATCTGAACATCATGAATTCCAACAAATACCAGGCACGCTCTCTGCGGTGCCTGCACTGTGCCATGGCAAAGGAACCAACGGTTCTGATTGTTTTTTGGTGCAAAACACTTGAGGCCAGAGGGAAGGTACGAAAGCTAGCAGGGTTGTTGTAACGTTGCAATGGAGACTGGTTTACGAAGGAGCATACGTGTGCCAAGAAAGTGAAGTGAAAAGGTGCCGGGGAGCACCGGCGGTCAATGCTCATGGTTTTTTTGGCTCGTCCGAGTGCTCGGCAGTCACGAATGGAGCTGCTCAGCAAGCCGAAGTCGGCAAAGGGCCGGAGAGGGGCAAGTGACACGTCCGAAGCGGGACCACAAAGATACATATAAATATATGTAGACGCATATGTAGTATGTACATATATATATATATATACATGGCAGTTGATCAAAATTCCTCTATCCGGGAACGGCCATTCTTCGCGAATAAAAATGTTACTTTCGCGAAACTTTCGCGAACTCCATGTTTATCTTTCGCGGGGCCTATGTTGGCCAACAACACCTCTTGTGAAGATTCATTCACCACATGCCAAATGGCGCCAGAGAATCACGGATCACTTCTTGATAGCCTTTTAAACATGCAGCTAGCATCACGGAGTCCCTTTTCAGGGCAGATTGTTGCTGACTAGGTTTTTTGGGCAAGGTTTACTGGCCCACCCCCTTCAACATGCACTTTGACTTTCGCCCCCTTTTTTGCATAATTTTCGCGGAACTTTCGCGAAAATATCCCTCTTCACAGACCCCGGCCATCAGCACGGGGTGCATTGAAGGAAAAGCGAACACCAGGGGCCTTGGTGTTTGGCTCTCGCAAAGCCTCACTTTTGGAAACTTGGTTACTGCATTTGGAGTTTGTTTCTTGAGACTTCAAAAAGCATCATTAGGCAGTGACAGCGGCAGGTGCAAGGATGTGCTTCAGGACCATGGCGTTCGGCTGTCGCGAAGCCTCGCCTTTGGAAGCTCGGTTGCTACCTATGAAGGGTGTGATTGTCCACAAGCATCACCACACAGGGAACTGAACCAGAACCAAACCAAAATTCTCTAGTGCCCTTCTCCTGCCGGACCCGGGCGGCAGTGGGTGGCAGCCCTTTACATAATGATTATAATATCCAACTTTCGCGAAACTTTCGCGAAAAAAAATTACTCTCGCGAACTCGAAAAAAAACTTCCGCAAAGGTTTCCAACATAGCACGCACGGCTTTCGCAATTAAAACTCCTTACAAGGACCTTTAGATCGATTACCACATATATACGCGTATATTCTCGAAAGATTGATAGCGAGCCAACAACCGTTGTAAGGATCCCTGATCCAAAATGATGTTTTTTTCTAAACCAAATTGTTGGGTCCCTGCCAACAGATCAATCCCAGCCCTGCTGGATGAAATGCCGCAGCTTTTCCACGAAGATGGTTCAAGCGTAAACGCCCTCCCACCTATGGCACGACTGAACCATCCCCGGCTTCGGAGCATGTGCAAGTGGCCATCTCGAACAGGCACAGGTTTGTGATTCCCAGTCTTCTATTTTGTTCGAGATGCATCAGCTCGCAATTCTGTCAAAATGATTCGTTTCCCCTGCTGAATGTATTGAACGCAGCAAACAACAAAAAGAAAACAGCGTAAAACTTCTCACTGAATGGACGACTTGGTTTTTCCATCATGGGAGATACTGTTTCCATCCCCTTTGGAATCACTGGACATCATTCGGAGCCATTGCAATCTCGCTCGGGAATCTGAGCGGGCACGAAGGATTTGCGCTTCATCGTGGAGACTATAGCGGCCTCTTTCCATGCATTCTCTCAAAACACTGGCATCCATGCACTTGGTGAGTGCATCAGCTAGTTGTGCTTGTGATGGTACCCATCTGATCATGATTCCATTGCTCAAGTGCTCTTTTATAAGTTTTTGCTTGAATTTGGGTTCGGAACTCTTGGCATGACGGTGGAGCATGTCTATTGATGAGGTCAAAAAGTGATTTGCAATCGGTTGTGATGATGTCTTTATTCTTGAAGTTGATTTGTTTCATGAGGTCTGGGTTAGGTGTGGTATTGTGATTAGATTCTTCTTCGGAAGGACGTATCGCTGCAAACGCTGGAGGCAAACGCATGAAGGTTTCATCGGCCAATTGCCAATTGCATTTCCCATCTCGCAACCAAGCCCAGTACAGTCGGACCCATGACAAAATGTCCACTGCTCCTGCCAGCGACATCGCTTCTGCTGAAAGTGTACTGCCCCCACTTTTTGAATTTTCTTTGAATGCCAAACAATGGGATTCTGCGAAAGCTCGGCAGTTCCTATTTTCACCTGCGTATTGAGCCACTTGTTACGGCCCATTCAAGTCTGTTGAACATGCTGGACATGCAACTGTGAGGTACATGACACTGCTGCTGCTACTAATATCTGACACCCCACCTACAAAGCGTACCATTTTGGTGCACTTTGTCCTTTACACTGCATGTCCTTCTTTGTTGTTTCCTAGGCACCGCAGGATTCGTCCAAATCCTTTGTGTCTTTGTTTTAGGTGCCAACTGTACATGTATGCTTATCTATCTAATTCAGTTTCCTATCCCTCTCATCCAGCAGCGGCAGCGCTTGAAGATCCAGCGTCATGAGATACTCCATGACCACCACCATCATCATCGTAGTCATACGGACGACCGTCTCGATCTCGCGGTAGAGATTCGCTTCGGTCATCATCATCTGTGTTTTCTTCTTCTTCTCCTTCCTCATGTCTTGGAGAACCAAAATGGGTCTCCACCTCATCAAAGAAATCAACATCTCTGTCGCTGCCAATCCATGCCCTCACACGCTCAGCTGCTTCCATCCACATCTTAGGAACACCTGACTGAAATTTCACCAACAAACCTTGTAGATGTCGAAGAAGACGTTGTTGGTTCGCGCGCTCCACAAGGTTCATCTCCATAGGGATATGGTTGCTGAGGTTGCGGCAATTGATGACCACGAAATTCTCTGGGCCAACACCTTGTCCCAGCATATCCCATCTGTAGTCATCCAACGCCACAGGCTCTCGAGGGACTGGCATGATGCTGAAAAAGTTCGCCATCGGAACACTGGAGAGAAAATAGTTCTCTTCATTGATTCTTCCCTGCATTGCTTGACTGCCTGAACTGGATGAGGGTCCACTGTTTTCGATTGCTTCGATCATGTCCATGGCCAGATTCATAGCAATAGTGCCTTGTGCTCTTCGTGCAAGAGGCTTAGGCATTGTTTTTGGTTCTGGTTCTGGATTTTCTGCACATGATCCTCTGGATCTCGATCTTGAAGTTGTAGCCGCCATTTCATCTTCACCTTGTTCTGAATCTTGCTCATGGGTGTGCGCATAGCCATAATGAATGTTGGTCCATTCATCCACATCTGAAACTTCTTCCATTGAGGATTGCAGGTATCTCTGGTACTTTGTGTTAGGGCTCTCTCTTTCTTCTTCAAAGCTCTCTTCTTCATCCGCTTGTTCTGGTACATCGCCATCAGCTGCATCATCAGCTGCACCATGCCGTGGGTCATCATGACACACTCGTCGTAGACGAAGTATGCTGGTTTCCTCACTGCGGTCAATGTCTCCAAAAGGTGTGACACTGGGATTTTCCTCATCTGACATAGTCTCATCTGCATCGCCACATTCTTCTTCACCTTCTTCTCCATGTTCTTGTTCTACATCGCCACATTCATCACAGAAAGGATCTTCGCCACGTTTCAATTGTGCCACGTCTTTGATGGTTTTCCAAACTTCCTGATATTTTCTGAGCTCTTCCATCTTGCCCTTGAGCTTCCAGAAGAGTCTTCCAATCACTGCCAAAAGAAAAATGATCACCATCATTTCCCATGTCAATCTCCAGGATGTTGAATTGCCATCTGAATCATGCGTTCCACAGCCTTGTAGGTTGCTCGCCATGACCATGTTCACAAGCAGTTTGACTAACTGGCGTTTCTTTCCTTGAAAAGGTCCACCAATTTCATCGCTGTTGAAGTTGCTGCTTTGCAAACCCAAACGCACCATGAGAAATTCTCTGCGCTCCTTGGAAAGCGGTTTGGTGTTGAGGTCTGCAGGATTTTCTTTGGTTGAGATCCTGTCTACAAAGAACCATTGTTTGCGCATTGCACTCTGGGTCCAAAGTAGACGTGTTGCCAAGTGCTTTGCTCTGCCAGGGCCCAATCTTGCAAAGAAAGCTTGAGCACTCGTGGAGTCCAGCTGCAGTCTCATCATGACATGTTCTTGACTGCTGAGTCCACCTTTGTCTCCAATGAGAAACTGCAAAACCTGCTTCACATAGATCGCCTCCGTCAGTAGGCTGCTCGCTGCAAGGATCTCAGCCTCCATCGAACTCAAAGAAATCGAAGTCAGCGACCTTGAATGACTGTGAATGAGGCAACCGTTGAGGTAGATCAGGCCAGAG